ACAGTTTGATAATAAGTGTGAGAGTACTGTCTGTACTCGGCTAGCTTGATTATCACTTCAAAAGTTTTTTTTTTTTTTCCCTTAATTAAATGGCCTCTCAGAGGTGGTAAGACAACTCCCACCTGTTTTATGCTCTCTGTATGTGTGTATATATATCTCCTCAATATATGTTCCATTCTATATGCATCCGAAGAAGTGGGCTGTAGTCCACGAAAGCTTATGCTCTAATAAATTTGTTAGTCTCTAAGGTGCCACAAGTCCTCCTGTTCTTCTTTTTGCGGATACAGACTAACACGGCTGCTACTCTGAAACCTTTCATTATAGTCTGTGTCCTTCTGAGCTGCTGTGGTGCCTCATAGGAGTTGTAGTTTAGGTATCTTTTGCCTGGTCCACACTAACCCCCCATTTCGAACTAAGGTACGCAAATTCAGCTACGTTAATAACGTAGCTGAATTCGAAGTACCTTAGTTCGAACTGACCGCGGGTCCAGACACGGCAGGCAGGCTCCTCCGTCGATGCCGCGTACTCCTCTCGCCGAGCTGGAGTACCAGCGTCGACGGCGAGCACTTCTGGGATCGATCCGGGATCGATTTATCGTGTCTAGACAAGACGCGATAAATCAATCCCAGAAGATCGATTGCTTACCGCCGGACCCGGAGGTAAGTGTAGACCTACCCTTAGATCCCCATTTTCTGCTATCAATCAGGCTCCCAGGCCAAACTACATCCACATGATGCAATGTTCATCCAAGTCCCATGATTCACTGCAGAAATCAGAGGGGAAACTGAGGTGTATCATGGGAGATGTCGTCCAGGGAGGGAGCCTAGCCCATAGAGGAGAATGGAGATACGACGCACTCAAACTGCAGCTTCCATGAGACACTGCAGTATCTCAGGCACATACGGATTAATGTCAAACTTGCCTGGAAATGAAATATTTCTGCTTAGGCAACCAGACCCCAGACTAAATATATTTCATTTTGATTTTCCATTAGGAAAATCAAAAAAATTCAGCAAGAGTGAAATTTTCCAGAAACTGCATTTTCTGCCAAAATACATGTTGCCAGAAAATTCCGAACCAACCCTAATTTCTACGTGTAGATGTAGATACAGATTGTTAGAATTGGCTAGTGATTTTCAGTGCCCAACCCAAGACGCCGTAAAGGAGCCTGCTTTTCAGAGGACAGATGCTCAGCACATTCTAAAAATCAGGCCCTTTAAGGAGTTTCAAACCGGGCACCCAAAAAATGAGGCAACCTAAAACCACTAGTTACTTTTCAAAACTTGGGCCACAGTATGTATGCATGTGCACATATTTCATTCCAAACAGTGGTGACTTCTCAGAACAGTACTCAATATAACAACATTTTTTAATACTGGTGCCTCTATGAGCCCACAGCAACAAACCTGGTTTTATTAAAATCCTGTCACTGTTGGATGCTATTTTCTTCATATCAAAATTACATGCAGACTAGATGGCTTTAGACATTTTTCTAGCTGCAACTCAGCTCCAAATCCTTGGCACGGCTCTGAGGAGAAGCATGCCAACCTCGGAAACAGAGGTTTCTGGTGGTCTGGGGTGCTAGAGTTGGTGAAAGACCAATGGACTGACGAAAGAGTATTTGTGGCCTAATGGCATGCAAAATAACGTGTATGTTGGCTGGTATAACATAGCATAATTATTTGGGCTCTTTGTGGAATCTAAAGATATTGGAACCAGCAGCTCCCTTCCCCCACAATCTCATTTCATTTTGAAAATGGACCTCCCAGGGAAGCTTTATTTACAGACCAAAAAGACCCCATTATTAATTGGGGGTGGGAGGAATACATGGTATGCATATTATGAGCACAATCCTGCAGCTGTTCCTTCTTTGGCACTTGCTGTGGACAATGGGGAGTTCCACACATAAAGTGCTTTTAGGATCAGGCCCATAATGTCATAATGACACTGCAGCTGGGAGTGTGCCTCCTGGAACGGGTAGACCGACCTAGTGAGCTAAACATAGCAGTGTGGACCTTGCGGCAGGGTCAATGACTCAGGCTAGCTGACTGAGTCCAAGCCTGCCTGACCCCCTGGGTTTGAGCTAAGTTAAGTTACCCCAGGCTAGCTGCACATGCCACAACATCCTCCCTGCTATTTTTAGGATGCTAGATGAAGCAGAGTTAGTCTGTGGGGTGTCTGTCCATCGGGGCTGGGAGAGACAAGGTGAGTGAGGTAATATCTTTTATTGGCCAACTTTTGTTGGTCATGCTGTCTCTCTAATATCCTGGGACCAACACAGATATAACAACCCAGGCTGGGAAACACACTCCCAGCTGAAGTGTAGACATATCCTAATAGTCTTTCATGGAACCATTGAGCTGGACTCTCTTCTCATTCACAACCAATCAGGGATGTGCTATGCTGAAGCCCATGGTGTCATGTGAGTGAGGAAGAATCTGATGTCAGATGTGCTGTCCAGAATAACAGGAGTAATGTCTTGCTGACTTCAGATCTGCCACAATCTTCTATTTGACTTCTGTATGATCTCATTTTGAATAGTTTTTCCAAGGTAGTGGTGTGTGTACATTTCTTGGGTGGTGACTCTTCTTAGAAGCTCCTGGAGTACAGCATCAAACTCAGCCATCAGCTCCAC